TTTCGCCTCCATTCTGTGATTGGGGTGGCCGCGGTCCTGGGCTAAGATTTCGAGGGTCTTACATTTGGGGGCTCGTCCAGGATTTTCGACCACCCCTCACCTGAGTGGAGTCGATCTTGGAGATAAGTGGGTACCCTGTATTGTTTGTGTCTCTGTGTTTTTGTGCTGGCTGAAATCTGGTTCTGTGCTTTGCGGTCGCTCGTGTCTCGGGAGGAGACAGAGTGTGATCAGCAGACGTGCTTGGGAGATCACTGACTGCCACCCTGGAAGACATTCCAGGAAGTCTGTGGGAACCTCAGGGAAGCTTGGGAGATTCCCGTCTGGGAGCCGGTGAGGGTACGGTAGTTCCCCTGGATTGGGGAAGTTATCCGCCCTCCCGGCCATCTGTATTTCTGGAGTGGTTTTGTCTGTCTAGGTGGAGACAGACATCTGATAGTTTTTGTCTGTGTGTCTTGGGTTTGTTTTTGTCTTATTTGTGACTTTGATGATGGGACTGACAGTAACCAACCCCCCTCAGTCTGACTTTTGACCACTGGACGGATGTTAAGGACCATAGTTAGTCAGTTAAAGTTACAACACCCCCTTTTGTTGAGTCACGTGGCACCACACTAGGTAACTTTATTTTCCAGTCTTTGTTTCTGTATGGTTTCTGTACAAGAATTGTTTAGGGCGGAGGTTCGGTGTGTAGGAGCGGGACCTGGTAAGAGCAAGTTGCCTGGTCCATCTGTAAGGGGACCCAAGCAGGTTGCCCAATCTGTAGGACAGGGACTTGCTGGGAGCAAGCCATCTGAAATTCCGAATAGGACCCTAGTCTGTGTTACTGTACTGTCTGTCCACGTTTCACATTTGTGTTGTGTGTTTGTTAAACATCTCTTTCTGTCCCTACTGCCCATGCACATGGTATGCATGGGTCAGGGGGTCTTTTCTTGTTGCCCTGAGCAAGTGGCGCAGGACATGAGTTCTGCCATGTGTCACGGGTTAGAATGTGTTGTGTTGGAGTCCCCCGAGGCTGCTTTTCTGAACTCGAACCGCTGCTGCAGCCCTTACAGCTGAGCCTGGCCGATGTAGGTGAGTCTTTCCCTATCCCCACATGCCGGTCTGTGAGGCACTCGAAGTGGGGCTCTCTCTGCCCCAACTACCATCCTGGCTTGTGGCAGGAGTTTCCCTACTCTGAGGGAATATGGCTGCAAGGCCGCCATCTGCCTAGCTGCCCAGCCTTCTTTGTGCTCCACACACATGGTATGCAGGGGGACTGCAGGGGTCTTTTTTCCACCCCTGCATTGGCCGAGGGTCTGGGATTACCAGCAACAACCCCCCCCCCCAAGTCTCTTCCCTGAGCACATGGAGCTCAGGTGGGTGAACCATCTGTCCTGATCCGGATGTAAAAAAAAAAAAAACAAAAAAAACAAAAAAACAAAAAACGGCCTTAAAGTTACTTTAAAAAAAAAAAAAAAAACCTTAAGAAGGACTTTGATAAGAGTATATGTTGACCAAGAAATGAGAGAAAATGTAGGAGAGTAAAGTAATAGAGAGAAAGAAAAAATAGGAAATTATAGAAGTTATAGAGGGTTAAAGCAAGTCGTAGAAGGTCAGAGGAAAGTTGTCGAAGGTCAGAGAAAAGATTGTTACAAGTCAGAGAAAAATGTAAACTGTAAACTGTTATGGTTTCTCATGTCTACAAATAGTAAATTTTAAAATTGGTAATATAAGTTAAAATTTTAACCATATCAAGTTAATTCAGTTTTAAAAGTTCTGTTTATTTCTCAAGTAAATTATGTATACTTGTTTTAAAATGTTCTGTTGCCTAGCATAACCTAAGTTTTGTTACATGGCTGACTGGTAGCCATTTTGCTGAAGTTGAAAAAAGGTACTTAAACCGCCATCTTGACTAAAGATGATTGCATGGAAATTAGAGGTACTATCTTAGAAACAAGTTTTTCAATTAAGATTTAAAATGTTAGCGCTTCTATATATTGCAGAAAGACTTTAAGGGAATTTAAATTTCTTTTTAAAACCAGTTTAAATGTTTGTTTTTTTTTTAATGTTTGTACTTAAAGAGCTTCAATTTAGAATTATTTTAAAATCAAAGCCTGACAATGTAAAGTTCTTGTTTTATAAAAGATGCTAATCTATTATAAGATGTTACAGTTTGCGTTTTCAGAAGTTAAGTTTAGGGTGTTGGTGGCACATGCCTTTAAGTTCAGGGTGTGGGTGGCACACGCTTTTAATCCCAGCACTCGGGAGGCAGAGGCGGGTGGATCTTTGTGAGTTCAAGGCCAGTCTGGTCACAGATCGAATTCCAGGACAGGCTCCAAAGTCACAGAAAAACCCTGCCTCAGAAAGAAGTTAAGTTTAAGCTAACAGCTAAAGTATGTACATGTAGCTACTGTTTAAGGAATATAAGAATATTCTATGCAGTTTTAAGTTCAGCTGTGCTAAGTTTCAAACATTTTACTAAGTTAAAACCAGTTACAGTCATACTGAAAATTAGTTACAGAAATAAGACATTACCTAGCCACCTGTGTGCTTAATGTGTGCTTAAGGAAAGTAACTAAAACAGACAAGCAGACCTCTAATGCTTCAGAGACCTGGAGAATATGGCATTTAAATTGTTATTTTAAAAGTTTATAATATCAGACAGACTGCCAGATCCTGACAGTGACCCAAAGTCTCCAAAGAAAATTATGAGGCACCCCAGTTCCTGCACCTGGATGATGGTGAGCAAGATGCTAAGATGTGATACTTGTTGCCTGTCATGACCTGGCTGAGACTATGGACAAAGCTGCTGGACACTGGAAAATTCCCCAAAGTCTCCAAAGAAAATTATGAGGCACCCCAGTTCCTGCACCTGGATGATGGTGAGCAAGATGCTAAGATGTGATACTTGTTGCCTGTCATGACCTGGCTGAGACTATGGACAAAGCTGCTGGACACTGGAAAATTCATTGTACCCCTTTGCCTAGACAAAACAAGTTCAGTCTTTTCCATGTCCCTCTTCCACAGAGAGGAAAAAACCTCTCACAGCAAAGATTGCTGTTCTTTGAGACATCTTCCTCCAGAGGTAATGG